CATTTTTTTTGTCAACAGCAGTCTTGTCACAGTCACTTGACCAATTTATAAGGACTCCCAAACTTTTCCTAGGCTTCTTGTATCTAACCCTTACAGCAATGTAGGCTTTATCTAGCCTACTTCTCCAAAGTCTTCCAGCCTCTGCCCATTACCCATTTTCTGTATTAGTCTCTTTTATGTTGCATATAATAGAATACAAAAAAAGCTGGGTAATTTATAAAAACAAGAAATGTATTTCTTACAGTTATGAAGGCTAATAAGTCCAAGTTTGAGGGGCCACATCTGGTGAGAGCCTCTTGCTGGTGGGGACTCCCCAAAGAGTCCTGAGGTCGTATCGTGCAGGTTTCACCTAGCTCGGGGCTGAGATAGGACTTATCTCTTTCCCTCTTACAAAGCCACCAGTTGCCCTGACCTGATAACTCATTAATCCATTAACATGTTAATCCATAAATAGATGTGTTACTGGTAAGTGTGGGGTCCTCATTTCCTGTTTTTTTACAGAAAAATAATTAAGGCTAGAGAGGTAAGAAGTAACAAGATTTGGCCGGGTGCAGTGGCTCATGCCTGTAATACCAATACTTTGGGAGGCCGAGGCAGGTGGATCAGGAGGTCAGGAGATCAAGACCATCCTGGCCAACATGGTGAAAGCCTATCTCTACTAAAAATACAAAAATCAGCTGGGCATGGTGGCGTGCACCTGTAGTCCCAGCTACTCAGGAGGCTGAGGCAGGAAAATCGCCTGAAAGCAGGAGGCGGAGGTTGCAGTGAGCCAAGATCCTGCCACTGCACTCCAGCCTGGGTGACAGAGCGAGACTCTGTATCAAAAAAAAGAAAAAAAGGAAAAAAGTAACAAGGTGTATTTAAAGCTGCGGTACACTCTGAAAGCGGAGTCAGGACAGGCTGCTGGCAAAAGGAGACAACAAATATTGGCACCGGGGAGCTGCTTTATGGGGGGTCTTACATGATTATTCATGAAGGGATATAAAGGGCTATTACTAGCAAGCTTGTTTTGGGTGGTCTCTGGGTGCACATGCGGTGTGGCCATACATGCTCGTGTATGCATCGCATGTCATATTAGCATCTTAAATCTCTAGTCAAGGATGTATTTTTTACCATTATAATGAGCAAAAGGCCACTTTTAGGGTGAGCCAAGAGGGGAGTGCACATGCTTGCTACTGGGGAAAGTTCCTACTGAAGTTATCTCCTATTAGGTCCAGGTAAGTCCCAGGTTAGGGCCAGATAAGCCTAACGACAAGCCCAGAAGGGGCTGTTGTTTTCTTCTGATTGACAGTGGACACTGGTTGCTAGTGGAGTGAAGTTTCCCGGGCTTCCTTTGCCAGGACTGCGCTTCTCAGGGCTGCCTTTTTTGCTCATGTCTGTCTATCTGCCTATTCTAACAGACAATCCACTTAGGAAAGCAGAACGCTCATTATCCATCTAATCACCTCTTAAAGGCCCCACCACTTGATACTTCCACATCGGGGATTAAGTTTTAAAATAAGTCTGGTGAAAGACAAATATTCCAGCCACAGCAGATGCCAGGAGATCTCCCGTATTCTGGACGTATTCTTCCTTACCTTCATTGTGGAGTATAGTTCAATTTTCCCCTAGTAGTCTGGATCAGTTGCCCCAACAAACACTACAAATCACTTCTTCACCTGTTATTTCAGGAACATGAGGAGCCCAGTGTGGCTGAATGGCAGTCTTCACATTCGGTTCAATGAACTAATTGTTGTGTCTTTAGTGGCAGCATTCCTTTCTCTAGAATTAAGACTTCTAGGCCAGCACAGCATATTGTTCCAGGAGCAGAAAGCAAAGATTTCACTAGAGAGACATTAAGAGTAATATGAGTGGTGCCATTCTCATTTTTGTCCCTGGATTCCTAAATCTGTAATTCTGGTTTGGGGAGAAAGAGTATTATATAACAGTTGCTAATTCAGGGTGTATACGGGATTCTAGAGAACCTTGCCCCAAGTATTGTTACCTAGAAGGTGTTGCAACTGTGAGTCTCAAAGGTTATTCTACCATTTATCAAGCTAGTGCCTCCAGGATGATGGGGAACACAGTAAGACCAGTGAGCTTCATGACCATAAGCCCACTGCTGCAATACTTTGGCTGTGATTGGAGTTCCTTGATCAGAGCCAATGTTTTGTGGAATACCATGATGATAAGTAAAGCATGCTATTAGTTCACAAATTACCGTTTTGGCAGAAATCTTATGTTCAAGGAAGTAAAATCCACATCTAGAGTAAATATCTATTCCAGGAAGGGCAAAACACTGCTCCTTTCTTGACGAAAGATACCCAACTTGTAATCATGCAAAAACTGGTAATTTGCTGATCACCCTGGGGAATAGTGTCATATCAGAGACTCAGTATTGGTCCCTGCAGCTGGCAGATGGGCCACTCAGAGGGAGCCACAGCCAGGTTTGCCTTGGTGAGTGAAAGTCCTGCTGGTGTGAGCTTGTATGATCTTCATCCCTGACACCATGGTCACTTTGTTCATTAGCCTATGGTGCAATGACAGGTGTGGCTGGATAAAGGATAACGAGTATCTCGGAATGCATGATCCCATCCACTTGATTATTGCAGACATCCTCTGCTGAGATAACACATTGGTGAACATTCACATGGAAACAACTGTCTTCACTTTTTTTGCCTCTTCACCAGTGACAAATCCATTACACTTTTTTTGCGGATAGACCGTGGTACAAACTTGTATAATAGGTCTCTTCAAGGAAGGATACAAGAAGGATGAACAGTATATAATGTTGGTAGTGTACCTGCATCCTTCTTTGAGGGGACCTGGCTGTTCTTTCTTACAGGGAGTTCTGGGACTGTAAACTGGCTCAAGTGTGAGAATTGAGTGTGGGGCTATGATTCTGTGCTTTTTTATGATTCCAGTTAGACTTGTTTACTTGAGCTGAATTTTTTCTGCTTCTTCCGACCAAGTAAGCCTTTAGAAAGCTTTCTATCTATTTACTTTTTGAGAACACCATGGCTAACTAGCAAACATTACAGATATATAGGAGTCAGAACAATCTGATTGTTGCTTTGACTTTGCTGCTGATTTACATAATAATGCCCACTAGCCTTTGAAGGTTGATTGCTGCCACTTGGCCCCAAGGCCCCTTGAGATCCAACATTTCCATTGCACTTAAATATTTTAAGTGATGGTCTGTGGTTTCCATTATAAGATCTGCCCTACAGGGAAGAGAGATCACAGAGTTGTTAAGACACACTGGGGTTTCCCACACTAATCTATTTCTCAAAGTATCATTAAAAAGTATGTCTTCTGGACCTTCTCTGTGTGGGTCAGTGACAAATCCACTCTAGCATTTCACTCTCCCCAAGTTTCTAAGTTCCTTCCTCAAGTTTAAACAAAGAGAGATAGGGCATCTCCAACTTGTTCATGGTAAACCACTCTTAGAACTAGAATTCAGCAAACATTGCAGCAAACTACTAACATCATTCCTAAATCCCCAAGCTGTGACATTTGAAGCAGAATATTTGCTTCATGGGCTCATATCAATAAACTTGTCCTCATGCAACTTTATGTTCCCTCCACCATTCTCCTGACTGTTAGAAGCAGATTTTTCAGTGCTGCGAAATAAAACAGCACCAGTGTATGAATTTTCTCAGCAAGGCAAATTTACTCCTGCAGGAGGGTCCCCCTCATAGGTCTGGTCACTGTGAGAGCACACACGAACAAAGGAAAGCAGAGGTTTTTATTATCTCTAACACAACTCGTCCCTGTTTACTGTGTCCTGCCTCCATTGGCTGGAGTTGGACCACACAATTTAAGCTAAACCCGACTGGCTAACTTGAAAAGTGCAGGAATGCAGCTGTATACCAGTGGGAAGGTGGGAAGATCTGTTTTGGCGAGAGTGGCTGTTGCGATGGGAGGGGTAATTCACAGAGTGGGTAGCAGATGTGGAATGCGGGCTCTATAGATAAGGACTGGCAGGAAAGCTGTTTACCAGAGCAGGGGAACACAGAGAGTAAGGAAGTCTGGCCTTGAAAGCGAACGAAGGACAAGGAAATTTAAGCAAGCTAAACCTTTGAAGAAGAATTTCTTACTGTATTCAAAACTGACCCTAAATATCCATTTCCACAAACGTTCTCAGATTCTGCTCATATAAGTTAGAAAGTTCAAGTAGTTTGTTTGAGTGTGGTGCACCTTCTCATGGGTCATGCTTCATATATTACCTTTATGGCCTGCTAGGGCTTGAGTCTAGTTATAGGTCTGGAAGCAAAAAATGTGGCTGGAGTAGGGCCTGAAGAGAAGCAGCACTGTATTCCTTGGCAACAGCTTCAGGGAAGCTCATTACCTTTTCCTCATGCAATGCAGAGTTAATTTCCCCAGAGAGAGGTGGAAGGGCCTATACATACACTGTTGGGGGGAAGGCCACTGCCATGGGGTTGTGTGCGGGAGGCCACAAACAAGACTCATCAGAATTTCAGAGCACAATGTCTCCAGCCTCATCAGTGTTTTCAGAGGTTTCCATTCCAATTTAAAAGGTCCCATTCTTTCCCAACTAATGCCCTCAATTTATAGTAGGTCCCTTGCTAGACCAAGAGTTCAACAATTCAGCCAATTGTGTGAGTTGGGCTTGTCTTTGAATTTTAGCAATTTGGGCCCTGTGGCTAAAGGTGAGATTATTCTTGTAACAGAGTAGCTTAGCTTCAAACTGCATTTTAAAACTTTTTTTCTTTCCTCCTTTCTCTCCAGTCCCAAAATGTAGCTTTGAGACAAACTACAGATGTGTTTCACAGCCTCAGAATGTTTTTGTTCCTCCTTTCTTCCCAGTCTCATTATGTGGCTTTGAGAAAAACTTTACAAATATGCCTTCTTTCGTCTTGACATACAGTCTCGGAATGTGCTGTGAGCCTCCACTCCCTTTCCCTTTCTTGGCTTATGCTCCCAAGCATTATACACCTTTATTCACCTAGATGCTTGTTAAACACATATCATGCTCTTCTATTTGATATATTTTTTAGGAGCTTCAGAGGCTGCATCCTGATACAGAGCAGACATCTCTGGAATTCCCTTTCTGACAAAAGATTACTTCAAGGCCAGAACCCACTCCTGGCTAAAGATTAACTATGAGAGTGACTGCCATTGATTTGTAACCTGGTTGGGCCCACGATGGTGCTGGCCCCTTTGCTAGATGGAACAATAATTCAAGACAAGCCACTGGAGCAGGTCACATCACCTGACATCTCTTAGTTCCTTGTTTCTCATGCATTCCAAACCCCTCTCTCCCAAAATTGCATATTCCCTCCACAAATTGAAGAGTGGAACATTTTGGAAAGAATTCCACCCACTCTTCCCCTTGCTAGCACATATAATAAAGCTCACTCTCATTCTGTGACACCTTACTCTTGTTGTTTTGGCTTTTCTCTGTAAGTGGTGAGCAGATGGACCCTTTTGCTGGTTACAGTTTCACTTAGAGCACACTTAGAACCTCTAAGCCTACTTACGTGGAGATGGATCTCAACATTTATTTTTTCTTCATCACTTTGCCTAGCAACATTAGAAACAACCAACTAACATAATTGTATTCCTTGGTTTTCCAAGTCTGATATGACCTCAAATAAGTGTGGCATTATCAAAGGTCCTAATTAACAGAGATGATGATAATGGAGGAATACTCGTAGACAAGATGAGTTAAAAGGTGAGTCAGAAGAGTTTGACCTGACTGGCAGAAATTTTGGAATACTTTCGTTAATGTATTTTGCTTTTGTATTCCATCACATATGATCATAGGAGTGTTTTAAGACAAATAGCCACATTTACAAAAGTTCAAAAGTTATTTTCAGTAATTATGAAATAGTTATGCTGGCAGATGAAGCCGTCAGAGGGGGCCGTAGCCAGGTTGGCCTTGGTGAAAGTCCCTGTTGGTGTGAGCATGCGTAATCTTCGTCTCTGGCACTGTGATCGCTTTATTCATTAGCAAATTGTGCAATTATAAGTGATAAATGATAAGACATTTGTGCTATAGTTTTTCGCTGGTTTTATGCTTGTGACATAAAATAATGACGTATTTATAAGTGATTCACATGATACTTCCTGCAAGTACTTGGAAAAAGCAGTCACTGTTAGCAAATGCTGATAAAATGTGTACTGTTGAACAATGATGAGACTGCACATTTTATGTATTATTAGTTCACTCAATCCTCACATCATCTCAAGAGGCAGACAAACACTATTAAGTCCCTCAAGTTCTAGTTCTGAATCTGAACCAAAGTTCTATAGGAAGAGGAGCAATAGAAGAGATTCTGAAGAATGAGAAGTGAGGCAAGCAAACAGCAAAAGGGAAAGAGAAGAGAAAAAGTGTGTCGGTGGCACAGGCTAGGGTGTGAGAAGAGGGCAGTGGTATTAGCGGACTGCTGGGTTCAGTGACATGTAAGGACCGCAGAAGCAGGAAGGGCAGACTATGGAGGGACTAAGCCAGTGAGAGAGGGCAGCTCAGGCAGCGATGCAGCAGCAACTCAGAGAGGAATACATTCTCTATGGAGGAACTTTAAATGTCTAGATCTAGTTTTGTTTTTCTGAGATGGAGTGTTGCTCTGTCACCCAGACTGGAGTGCAATGGCCCGATCTCAGCTCACTGCAAGCTCTACCTTCTAGGTTTATGCCATTCTCCTGCCTTAGCCTCCCAAGTAGCTGGGACTACAGGCACCCGCCACCTCACCCAGCTAGTTTTTTGTATTTTTTAGTAGAGATGGGGTTTCACTGTGTTAGCCAGGATGGTCTTGATCTCCTGACCTTGTGATCTGCCTGTCTTGGCCTCCCAGAGCGCTGGGATTACAGGCGTGAGCCACTGCACCAGGCCTAGATCTCGTTTCTTGAAATGTTATCTTAGCCCATATGGTCTGCCCATCAGAAAGACTGAACAATTGAGTATGGTCACTGCCCTCTGGGGATAGACATGAGCACTCTCAGGAGGCTTTGAGTGTGGGGAGGACAAGGGTGAAGACAGGCAGAGAGGACCCTAGGCAGGCTGACTGACAGTATCATGGACCTGGATGTTCCTGTTCACTTCTCTTTCTCCAGTACTCCAATTACCCACTTCACCCCAAGTGCAAGTTCCTGTCCTGTGTAGAACACCGTTGACATAAATGACTCCATCTTAGAAAAATACTCCATCGGGCAGCTTTGCATTTCTCTTTGAAGAAAATCCCAGAGACAGCCTATTGCAGCTGCAGTGGTTCTGCCCTAACTGCCCTCAGGCAGAGAAAGGAACAAATGGCCTCGGCACTGCACTGGCACCTCCAGCACACTGCAGCCACCATGTGGAGAGGAGCCCAGTTTCTCTTCCGTGTGAGTGCTCACCCCCTACTCTTCAACAGGCAAGGCCCTGGCTCAGGACCACAGAACAGCTGCCCCACCCATTGTTGAGCATACCCACTGGTAGTGGCTCTGTGTTTCCCTGGGGAAGGACTCCCAGTGGCAACTGACAGCCCCCCTGCCACAGCCACTGCCACTGCCACAGCGATAGCACTGCCCTTACTTTCCTCAGTCTGCGGAAGAAACAAAGAGCCTGAGGGCTTCACTTGAGCTTCCAGCACGCCACTGATGAACAGTACGAAATCGTCTGAAGGTACAGGAGGTCAGGAGATCGAGACCATCCTGGCTAACACGGTGAAACCCCATCTCTACTGAAAAATACAAAAAAAACTAGCCGGGCGAGGTGGCGGGCGCCTGTAGTCCCAGCTACTCGGGAGGCTGAGGCAGGAGAATGGCGGGAACCCGGTGAGGCGGAGCTTGCAGTGAGCCGAGATCGCGCCACTATACTCCAGCCTGGGCAACAGAATGAGAATCTGTCTCAAATAAATAAATAAATAAATAATAAAAATTAAATTTAAAAATGACTATATGCAACACACACTTAAGAAGTGGGGGATCATGCTCCACTTCTTTTGAGCAGGGTGTCTACAAAAGTTACTTGGAACCCTCACCATGAGCATGTGTCTAGTCTCCTTTGCTTATTAAATATTTATTCAATCATTTATTTATACTAGTATGAAAACCTGGATATTTATTTGTTACTCTACCTATGCTAATGCATTTTTTTAATTCTCATTGTTCCAGTGATGGCCATTGGAATGTCTTTCGGTTAGATTCTCTCATTTTGAAATACCCTCACTATTAGGGTTTGATTTACTGTCGGTTAGTCGGATATTTGTATTGTGGCTGACATTTCTTTAGTTCTGGTACTACTAGATGCTCCAGGCTCCTTGTGTTTATTCCCTACCCAAGCCTAGTTTTCCTTTTTTTCATGAAACGCTAGTTTCTTTTAGTGGAAAATGAAATCACAAACTAAGATCTGGACACCGGGTGTAGTCATTGCTCCTGACATTCTTCTCTTTCTTGCAGTTTTATCAATTTCTGCCTCCTATAGTTTACACTCTGTTATTAGGTGCATATCTGAAAATTTTGTTATCTCTTGTTAGGTGTCTATTGATTTAAGGTCCTGTCAGCTGACAAAGCAAAGAAATATATCTGTTTATTCATAAATACACATATGTGCATAAATATTTCAACATGTATCTGTACATATCTATATGAAATTAAACATAAATTTATATTGCTTCCAGTACCACATGATCTAATTCATTACCCTATGAATCAATCTACCTATTCATTTACTTGTATGTAGCCTCAAACTCTAACAGTGACCAAGATGATTCTGTTAACTTAATTATACCATATTTTTGTTCCCAAAGAACCTTAGTTGTATTTTTGGTGAATGGTATTAGAAACAAAGTTTGGGGCAGTGGGTATACTCATTACTGCTAGGAATGAATTGATTCTATGATTTGTCATCTGAGAGAGCAAAGAAATGTATATGTGTATATAGTAACACACACACACATGTTTGTGTGTGTGTGTGTCTGTGTGTATATATGTGATATTATTTCTAATACCATTCACCAAAAATACCACTAAGATTCCAAAAAGATGGTATGATTAAGTTAACAGAACCAACTTGGCCACTGTTAAGAGTTTTAGGCTACACAAGTAAATGAAGAGATAGGTTGATTCGTAGGGTACTGAATATATACATATATTTCTACGTTTGTCCGTATATATCTGGCTAGAATTAAGCATGAATTTCTAAAAATGTCTTCAGCACTACGTGAATATAATCTAGTAAACATTAATCTTTCTACCAACTCCCACTATTTGTTATGTAACCTCTCTCTCTAACAGTGAGACAGTTGGCCAATTTTATGTAATCAATGAGTCCCAAAACACATGCCATGTGGTTTCAAAACTGGTAATTTATACCCTCATGGGAAAGAATATTACCAACTAGAGTGCTTATGTACAAATCCTTTGACCTTTAGACTCAGGAAACCTTATATTTTAAATTTCTTGGGTTAGTCCCTTTCCCCCCCATGCTCTTTAAAAGCCATCTTTATAAATTTGTTACACAATTATATTATTTTTTTCTTCATTGTTCCACGGGATCCTCCAACTTATGAAATAATGCTTATTGTTTCTGTAAAGTTTCACTCTTTCTGATGTAAATGTTTTCAGGATATGAAAAATAGTATCATTGCCACATCATTATAGCATCATAGAAAATAATTTTACTACACAAAAATAAAATCTGTATTTCACCTCTTTGACTTTCCCCCTTCAATACCCTACTAGCCACTATTTTATAAATTTCTCTATAATTTCACCTTTTCAATAATATCATATTAATGGAATTATACAGTATATACTCTTTTCTAACTGGCTTCTAATTCTTAAGAATATGCTTAAGATTCCAGAGGTATATATCTCTTGATGGTTTAGATTTGTATTTGACTAAGGACTAAAGGTGTTGAAAATATTTTTATGTTCTTATTACACATGTGTATAGTTTCTTTGGAGACATATTTATTTACTCAACTTTTAATTAGGATATTTCCCTTTTTATTTTTAAACTATAAATGTTTTGTGTCTTCCAACAATCGTCCCCTCTCACTCATATGATTTGCACACATTGCTCCCATTCTTTGGGTTGTCTGGATTATGTACTTTGAATCACAAAAGTTTTAATTCTGATAAAGTGAAATTTACCCATTTTTTTCTTCTCTCACTTTTATATTTGTATTAGGCCATTCTTACACTGCTATAAAGAAATAACTGAGACTGGGTAATTTATGGAAATAAAAAGGGTTTAATTGGCTCAGGGAACTGCAAGCTGTAGAGTAAACATGGTGCTGACATCTGCTCATCTCCTGGGGAGGCCTCAGGAAGCTTCCAGTCACAGTGGAAGGTGAAGAGGGAGCAGGCTTGTCGCATGGTGAAAGTAGCAGCTAGAGAGAGAGCCAGGAGCCATACTATTTTCAACAGCCAGATTGCTCAAGAAATCACTCACCATATTGACGACAGCACCAAGACGATGGTGCTAAAACTCTACCTTTTGTTTTTTTCTCTTTTTTTTTTTTTTTTGAGAGCGAGTCCCCCTCAGTCGCCGAGGCTGGAGTGCAGTGGCGCGATCTCAGCTCACTGCAGCCTCCGCCTCCTGGGTTCAAGCAATTCTTCTGCCTCAGCCTCCCGATTAGCTGGGACTACAGGCATCTGCCACCACACCGGCTAATTTTTGTATTTTTATTAGAGACAGGGTTTCACCATGATGGTCGGGGGATGGTCTTGATCTCTTGATCTCATGATCCGCTGCCTCCCAAAGTGCTGGGATTACAGGCATGAGCCACCTCGCTTGGCCTCTTCTTGCTCTTTTTTTTTTTTTTTTTTTCTTTAAGACGGAGTCTCCTCAGTTGCTCAGGCTGGAGTGCAGTGGCATGATCTCGGCTTACTGCAAGCTCCGGCTCCCAGGTTCAAGCAATTCTCCTGCCTCAGCCTCCCGAGTAGCTGGGTCTACAGGTGCCCGCCACCACGCCCGGCTAATTTTTTTGTTTTTAGTAGAGATGGGGATTTCACCATGTTAGCCAGGATGGTCTCCATCTACTGACCTTGTGATCCGCCTGCCTCGGCCTCCCAAAGTGCTGGGATTACAGGCATGAGCCACCGTGCCCAGCCTCTTCTCACTCTTTAATGAGTAATTACTAAAATTGTTTTCAGGTTCTCAATGATGTAAAATAATGCTGCCTTAAAAATGTGTACCTACGTGTGCTGTAGTCAGCCTACATTTTTATAATATTGGCTTGTTAAAAGGAAATTGCAATATTTTATTTATTTTCTTTTTTCATCTCGCATAATATTTTTAAAATGTTTTCCTGTTCCTGCCTTTTTAGATTTTCATTTTTGTTGACTTAGCCTATAATTTATCCTTCTCCCTATTATTTAACTGATCACTGATGTCAGTTGTTTTAGGCTGAAACGTTAACATTCCTCTGACTTGGTTTGTATGTGACTAGATGGCTAAGTGTCCTGGCTAGTGAAGATAGTACTCCTCAAACTAGGTTGAACAAGGATTGTCTCACCTTAAACCACCGACAGACACAAAATTACGAAGAGATCAGAAAAAAATCAGAACTCCAACAAACAGACTATGATTTAATTAGGGTTTACAATGTGGGGTGTCCTGATGACAGCATGATTAACTTCAGAGGAACACATTCTCCAGTGAAG